GCTGCTGTCTTTCTCAGCAGCGAACCAAGGAAATAGTAAGTGCAAACGCGTGGAAACAACAGTTGCAGTTATCCTGACCAGTTTCTAACACTGCAGCAAATTCCTGTGCCAGAGGAGCTGGGGGGGAGAGAGAGAAAGAGAGGGAGAACTCATAAGACTCAAACACACAAGCGCTTTATGAGTAGGTTCGCAGTTAGTGTTACGATGATAAGCACAAATGTGCTTTTATGGTCATGTAATAACACCGGTCAGTGTGGACAGGCCTTCGCAGTAAGCGTTTCCTGTATGGCACTTAGCAACTTTGCATGGAGTTGCACGCCATCTGACACCAGGAAGGCAAGGGGCTGTCAGGGCTCCTGTTTGTCATTCATGTATGTGCACACTGCATGCATCTGTTCAGAACTCATTTGTGGATGATAATGGGGATGCTGTGAACATGCTTTGATTAATTTGCTTTATGTTTTTCATATTGTGTGGTTGAGTCAGTATCCATCAGGACAACAGTATAAGTGAGATTACTGCTGACAAAAAAACAGTTTCACAGTCGAGACTTTTTTAAAAGTCTGTATTTTATTGGTTTCAGAATTATTTTCTTTTGTCTTTTTTTTTTTTTTTTAAACCAGATATGTCTGGATTGGAATGTGAATTTGTTCTCTCTCTCTCTCTCCTCCCCCCCCCTTTCTTTCTCTTCTCTCCTCTCCTCTCTCTCTCTCTTTTGTGATCTCAATTTAGCAAAAGATTAGAAAGCTGATCTTATCACAAGGTAAGCTCAGCCTTCCTAAGTGCAGTGTGGGGATATGCATAATTACACTTCTGCGCCTCAAAAAAGCAATGGTGCTATACTCGCTTGTGTGAAAGGAGTATTTCCCATGTGGGAGAAAAACAAGGAATACTCTCCACTTTTTTCTGCCCTTGCCCATACCTCTCAACTGTCTCTCATTAGAAGAGAAATTTTCCATTCTAGCCCACCCCTTAGTGGAATAATTGCATCCCAAGCAGACATGATTCAATTAAACTGCAGTTCATATCAGTTTTATGTCAGTGAACAGTTACCTGCATTTGCAGGTGAGTGGGACGGATTGGTTCTATTGCTGTTTTCTTTATTTATTCCCTTAAGTTATGTGCAACAGATACATGATTTGCAAAGTATGTGATAGAAGATTACAGAAATTAACTCCACATCAATTTCATTTTCCTACATTTGCATTTTCCTTATTTGTCAGCATTGTATTGCTGTACCATGTTTGGGACTTCAGCTGGTTGAGAGGTATGTTTCAAAGGGTTTCTTAAAACAAAAGCTTCCAATAAGGAAATATTGCTAATAGCTATTGTTCCCTTTATCCCTTTTTTGTTACTGTAGGACCTGAATGTCTGTAAAATATTTGATCATTGTTATGTCCTCCCATGCCAATTTTATACTTGGTGCTTTTTTGCAAGTTAAAGTATTCCTATGTTAAAACTCTCTCTTTCTCTCTCTCTCTCCCCCCGCCCCCCACCCCCCTCTTTCTTTTCCCTCCTACATTTGGGCTCTGATCTGCAATTTATAATGGGCAGACAGACTGGTGAGTCTGCATGTTGTAAATTGCGGGTTTGGGTCCTTAGCTTGCAAAGAATGTTACGCAGTAGAACTTCGCTAATTCTTTTTTTACTGACTTGAAAAGCCAGTCACCCTCCAAAGAAACGGAATAAATATTTGTCATTTCCTCATCAACGGTGCACATTTTGAATACTGAACCCTAAAGTTTTCTAATACTGAAAACTTTATACTGATTTCTTATTATTAAGCACTTCAACAAAACGAGCATGTTCTGTGGTCAGAGGTCTTTGATGTCTGTCATGTTTGTTGGTTGCATTGTTACTTCAGAAAATGCAGTTTTTCAAAGAGGGTTTCCTGACACTACTAGAAATGAGTGAGGTTCTACTGCAATGGATGAATAAAGCCAATGTCAAAAGTGGAGAGTAGAATGCAGTGTTTAAAATAATGGGCTGTTTTACACACTTACTAACCCAAAGGCTTACACTGTTTGCAAATGTAGCGCTTTATTTCTTGAGAACAAAGGCCCAGATCCTGTAAAACACTTGAGAATATTTTAACTTGCGGCTCTTGGGATCTGGTCCAAAGACCACTGACGTCAGTGACAGCTTTCCCAGTGTCTCCTTAGCACCCGCAGTGACTTCACATACCTAAACCAAAGCCCATGCTTAAGTGTTTTGATTGATTTGGGGCAAAATTCTCGTTGCCATTAGTAGGGTTTTTTTACTGGAAATTACACTGCTTGGGTCAGTCAGCACTGTATCAGACACAGTACTGGGAAGAGTACAGGGCGGAGCAGCAGTGCCCTCCTGGAAGAATTATGTGCACACTGCATGCATCTGTTCAGAACTCATTTGTGGATGATAATGGGGATGCTGTGAACATGCTTTGATTAATTTGCTTTATGTTTTTCATATTGTGTGGTTGAGTCAGTATCCATCAGGACAACAGTATAAGTGAGATTACTGCTGACAAAAAAACAGTTTCACAGTCGAGACTTTTTTAAAAGTCTGTATTTTATTGGTTTCAGAATTATTTTCTTTTGTCTTTTTTTTTTTTTTTTTCCCCCCCCCTTTCTTTCTCTTCTCTCCTCTCCTCTCTCTCTCTCTTTTGTGATCTCAATTTAGCAAAAGATTAGAAAGCTGATCTTATCACAAGGTAAGCTCAGCCTTCCTAAGTGCAGTGTGGGGATATGCATAATTACACTTCTGCGCCTCAAAAAAGCAATGGTGCTATACTCGCTTGTGTGAAAGGAGTATTTCCCATGTGGGAGAAAAACAAGGAATACTCTCCACTTTTTTCTGCCCTTGCCCATACCTCTCAACTGTCTCTCATTAGAAGAGAAATTTTCCATTCTAGCCCACCCCTTAGTGGAATAATTGCATCCCAAGCAGACATGATTCAATTAAACTGCAGTTCATATCAGTTTTATGTCAGTGAACAGTTACCTGCATTTGCAGGTGAGTGGGACGGATTGGTTCTATTGCTGTTTTCTTTATTTATTCCCTTAAGTTATGTGCAACAGATACATGATTTGCAAAGTATGTGATAGAAGATTACAGAAATTAACTCCACATCAATTTCATTTTCCTACATTTGCATTTTCCTTATTTGTCAGCATTGTATTGCTGTACCATGTTTGGGACTTCAGCTGGTTGAGAGGTATGTTTCAAAGGGTTTCTTAAAACAAAAGCTTCCAATAAGGAAATATTGCTAATAGCTATTGTTCCCTTTATCCCTTTTTTGTTACTGTAGGACCTGAATGTCTGTAAAATATTTGATCATTGTTATGTCCTCCCATGCCAATTTTATACTTGGTGCTTTTTTGCAAGTTAAAGTATTCCTATGTTAAAACTCTCTCTTTCTCTCTCTCTCTCCCCCCGCCCCCCACCCCCCTCTTTCTTTTCCCTCCTACATTTGGGCTCTGATCTGCAATTTATAATGGGCAGACAGACTGGTGAGTCTGCATGTTGTAAATTGCGGGTTTGGGTCCTTAGCTTGCAAAGAATGTTACGCAGTAGAACTTCGCTAATTCTTTTTTTACTGACTTGAAAAGCCAGTCACCCTCCAAAGAAACGGAATAAATATTTGTCATTTCCTCATCAACGGTGCACATTTTGAATACTGAACCCTAAAGTTTTCTAATACTGAAAACTTTATACTGATTTCTTATTATTAAGCACTTCAACAAAACGAGCATGTTCTGTGGTCAGAGGTCTTTGATGTCTGTCATGTTTGTTGGTTGCATTGTTACTTCGGAAAATGCAGTTTTTCAAAGAGGGTTTCCTGACACTACTAGAAATGAGTGAGGTTCTACTGCAATGGATGAATAAAGCCAATGTCAAAAGTGGAGAGTAGAATGCAGTGTTTAAAATAATGGGCTGTTTTACACACTTACTAACCCAAAGGCTTACACTGTTTGCAAATGTAGCGCTTTATTTCTTGAGAACAAAGGCCCAGATCCTGTAAAACACTTGAGAATATTTTAACTTGCGGCTCTTGGGATCTGGTCCAAAGACCACTGACGTCAGTGACAGCTTTCCCAGTGTCTCCTTAGCACCCGCAGTGACTTCACATACCTAAACCAAAGCCCATGCTTAAGTGTTTTGATTGATTTGGGGCAAAATTCTCGTTGCCATTAGTAGGGTTTTTTTACTGGAAATTACACTGCTTGGGTCAGTCAGCACTGTATCAGACACAGTACTGGGAAGAGTACAGGGCGGAGCAGCAGTGCCCTCCTGGAAGAATGGAACCAGTGGCTTTGGCTAAGATTTTCAGAAACTTCCTTGTAGATTTCAGAGACTTGTTCTCCTAAACCTTTCAAGTCTTCTCCATCGTAGTTTGGCCCGATTCTGAATCCCTTTATACCAGAATCAAATTATCAGAATCAGGACCTCTGACTATGTATCATTCAGTTACCTTTATTTTTTTCTGCTCTTATACTTCATTTACACAGTTATGTGAGTACATATATATATAAAAAATATATATTTATATGTATGTATGTATAAATATATAAGGATACGGATCTAGAGATAGACATAGATCCAATCACTCACAGATATTCCATATATTAATATTTTCTCTTGAAGCAAGGCTTTTAGGAAGGCCAGCAGGGATTCAGGAACCAAGAAGAGCATTTTGCATTTTCTGCTAGTGCAATTTATTATTTTGTAAATATCAAATAAAAGAGCTGCAGCTGCTGCTGGGGACTAATGTTGAGGAGCAGTAGCTGAAAATAAAAACCAATATGGGGTGGGGGCATTAATTTGCTTGGTTCGGTTTGGTTTTATGTTGCAATTTGTTCACTTATAACAAGACTGAATTTTCCAAGAAACATGGATGGGGGATATTTTTATTATAAATTACTAATAAATCAGAATTTGGATTTGGTGCTTGATGACTGTATGTTTAATAAAAAATACCATACATTTTTCCTTTTCTCCCTTCCCTCTTCCTTTCCCAGACACAGTGCTAATATAAACCTGCACCGTAAACTGTTGACCAAAGAACTGGATGACATGGGCCTGGACACCTCACAGCCTTCTCTTAGTAAGGACCTCCGTGATGAATTTTTGGTGAAGATATATGGCGCTCAGCATCAGATGGGGCTCGACATAAGGGAAGACACCTCCTCACCTGCTGGTACTGAGGATTCCCATATGAACGGGTACAGCAGGGGCATGTCAGAAGACTATATGGTCCTAGACCTGAGCACCACCTCCAGCATCCAGTCCAGCAGCAGTATCCATTCCTCAAGAGAATCTGATGCAGGAAGCGATGAGGGCATTCTCCTGGATGACGTCGATGGGGCAAGTGACAGCGGGGAATCTGCCCACAAAGCAGATGCCCCTGCCTTAGCTGTAGGTATGGGCACTGATGTCCCAGGATCCCTCATGTTCAACAGTGTTTCGGTGAGCAACGGTGGGATAATGTGTAACATTTGCCACAAAATGTACAGCAACAAGGGAACCCTCAGAGTGCACTATAAAACGGTGCACTTGCGAGAGATGCACAAATGCAAAGTCCCTGGGTGCAACATGATGTTCTCCTCTGTCCGTAGCCGAAACCGGCACAGTCAGAACCCCAATCTGCATAAAAACATTCCCTTCACTTCAGTAGATTAGTTCAAGGATGGACACAGCATAATGCCAGCTCTCAGAGAGGGCCCACCACATCTGAACTGCAATATACAGTCTCCCTTTATATATATATATATATATATAATTTTTCTTTTCTTTTTTAACAAAAGAAAGAAACACCAGGTGCTTTTTCCCCTTTGTTGGTTGTTGGGTTTTCTTTTTTTCCTTTTTTTTGGGATAGAAATAAAAAGGTGGGATCTTTAATTTGGGAGGGGGAGACCCTTCAAGCAAAAAGCAAACAAAAACAAAAAACAAACCCACAGAAAACTTGCAGTTGTCCCTAGTTCTGTTAGAATGTTCTTGGTCATCTCCAAAGAGACAATTTGTTCTACCCATGACTTTTGCCTGAAAAAAAAGAACAAAAAAACAACAAAAAAAAGCGCAAACAAACAAAAAGAGAAAAAAATCAATCTACTTAGTTGTCTTTGTGTCTTCTAAGCATTGGGGATAACGTTCTACTAAGCATGGCTGTTACACTTGTATATATATATTGAGCCTTGACAGGCCTATGATGTAAAACAATTGTATTGATGGTGGTTTAACTCTTATTTTTTTGCTTAATTTTTACAGTTACATTCAGCTGTTAGATAAGCAGGAAAAATAGTTTGCTGGCTAGTTCTACTCATTTATGTTAGCTTTAATGCACATTTTTAAAAGAACCACGGTCTTGTTTTAACTACCTGCTAGATATAAGTAATACAGAGGTGCTGGCATGCTTTACAGTACCTGATCTGATACAGTTTTTTTGTCTTGTACTATTACATAAATCCAGTCATGCACTTTTTCGTACACTACAAGGGGATGTGTAATAATATCCATGCTTTTTTTTTTTTTCTTAAACTATTGCCATATTTTCAGTAAGTGTCTTTAAAAAAATACACTTAGATAAAAGTGGTCTGGTCAGTATGAGGGCATGAATGCCAAACAAAGAGTATTAGTGTTTAGTGTTAATACAAAAGTGCCAACTTTGCACACATTTTGAAAAAAGAAAATGTAGTTATTCACCATAACCACAGTTGTAGTTTTTGGACTACAGAAAAAAAAATACTGGGGAGGGAAAAGGGGTAAAGTGAAATACAGAATTCTTGGTGCTTTTTTCAAGTGCCAATTATTACTAGAAACAATAGTGCATCCTTATTCCTTATATACTACATTACATAAAAGAAAAAAAAACAGAATTGTGTCATGTGAATCAGTGGAAACTTTTTTTTTGTCAAACATGCATAATATTTGGGGATATAAATGCTGATACTACTTGTCACAGAACAAAGATGGATATAATTTTGTGTGCTTCTTACTATGGCCTGGATTTTTTGTGGTGTTTTAAAAAAAAAAAAAAGGAACAGGGAAATAATGTTAACTATGTTGTTCTGTAAAGTTGTCTTTTTTGCAATGGAAAGTGCTGTAGTATGATTAAGGCATGTTTTATAGAAGCAATCAAAAAAAATTAATGGCAGAAGCACTTAGAAGCTCTGAAAACATATGCTGGACTTTTTATTGGATAACTTTCCCTTTGGATAAAATTAGAGGCCAGGAAAAAAGGATCTCTAGTTGTGTTAATGTTTTGTGTTTCACCCACACAATTTGTCTAGAAAATAACAGAAGTCCAAGAAAGATAGTGAGCAAGAGAGCAAGCATGGACAGGGAGGGAGAAGGAGCAAGCAGCTGAGGAAGGCAGAGAGAAAGAGAGGCTGTCCTCTGAATCCTTTTTGTTTCCGGTGTTTACACATGTTGCTTGAGCTGGTAAACCACACTGGCAGCCTGAGTTACCACAACATACTGACTGAGTGATGGTATTTACTTAAGTTCAGTCTACAGCCAAAACCATTAGGGTGTGTGTTGTAGACTCTTTTTCTTTATAAAAACAATAACAATAACTAAAGCAAAACAAACAAACAAACAAATGAAAACCCAAGAGGTATTTCAGCATACAATAAAATATTCCTTCAGTGAGAATGTGTTCCTTTTCTGTATTTACTGACCCAGAACATTATTCTTCTTAGCCAAGAGTCAGAAATGCTCCATTGTTTCAGCTTGTCGTTGTTTTGATTTGCTGTGCATTTTGATTATTTATATTGATTACCTTTATGTCCACCTGAGTACTTCTGTTACGTTTTCTAGAGGAAACTCTTAATATGTATTTCCTCTTTTTTTAGTACTCTTTATGCATTTCAGTATTCCTGTTTCCAAAAGTAGGAATCAATAGCTAATGAATCAGTATTTCCAGTTGTCAAAAATAAAAAGAAAATCTTTCTAAATGAATTCTCACTACATTCCTATGGGTTACAAGCCTCTGATCATTTTTTTTATTCTGTACGCTGATGAAGCCCTGAAAATGTTTGTGAATCCCACAGAAACTGTAAGGAAAATTTACCTTCTGGTTTAACAAAAAGAAACTTTATAGCAAAAAGCTAAGCAGTTTCACTGGCTTTTTTTTCTTTCATCTTTTTTATTTTTCCTCAAAGTTTCAACTACTTTGCCATGTTAAATTGAGTGGAGAGATCTGCTTTGCTTTGTTTTATGTTGTGCAAGCTCAGTGTGTTTGTGAGAAAGGGAAATTAGAACAGTAAAGAAGTGTTCTTCTAAAAACACATGGACCTTTGTAGTGTTATCTGTACTGCACTCCTGTCCCTCCTCCCAAGGTATTAGGAACAAGCAAGATGGAAAGTCTAGAAAACAAAACAAAACAAAAAATTGATATCTACAGAAAGAAAACTCCACTGTTTTGTAGTATGTACAGTATAAATAAATACCATTTTTAATGAAAAACACATTTGAGGTATACAAATAATTCCTCACTGAATGAATCACTGTTCTGCATTCTCATTTCACTCTGTTTCTGTTAGAGGTCAAATGGTTTTGGTAAACTTGTTTGGAAACTTAAACATCATCAGTAGATAAATTCAGCAGATGAATTACATTGGAAAAAAATCTGTTTATTACACAAAATGAAACAGGACATTCTAAAAAGTAAAGAAGCAGGGATAAACCTCCAAAAACTGTTAGAAGCTCTGCATCCTACTTTCATGGCATCCTAAACTTCATTCAGATTTTGCTTAAGCCACGTAGGAGGTATCTCCGTCTTGTGGACAGAATATTACTCACTGTTATTTCTAGGAGAAGCAAGTGGTTTCTTCAGTGCTAGTGATACTAATGTCAGAACAGTCTTCGTTTTAGAAGGGCACACACACTTACATTGAATTGAATGGCATTTCCCTCATTCCTACTTACCATGCATCTCTATGAGAATCTGTATTTATCAGAATTGTTCCTGTGGTGGAATTTGTATCATCTGAAGTTATCTGAAAAAATCCTTAAAAAGGCTGTGTGGTAGAAGTTTGGTTTTACTGACAGAAAGTAGCATTTCTGGGTGATCTCAGCAGCGACCTAGACTGCAATAAGCGTAACAACCGAACATCTTATGTGTCCAGCACAGGGCATGGCTGTAATGGTGTGATAAGTGTTGTGCCGTTGCTTGTGCCATCATAAACCTGTGGCTACCCCTTCAGTTTCCAAACCTGTCTAAACCTTTTTTTTACCAGAATTAGACCAACTTTGAGGAAGAGACTCTTTATTTCACATTGAGTTTGTTCCTTCTTGTTTGGTTCTTACCATCATTGTGGTCCCTCTTTCCATGTTGCTTCACTGTTTTGTTTATTTGAGGTAGTTGTATTTTTCTGTAAATATCAAAAAAGCTTTGTCTACTTTTAGGAAATAACTTCATACTGAACCTCCTTTAGAGACAGAACTACTTGTCTGGAGGTTGTTAAGCATTTTTCTTTGTTTGGGGGGGGGCGGGGCATCAGGAAAGCATGTGATACTGGTTAATCACTAGGTATCTTCTGAAAACCTGTATGAAAAAATTTGGAAGGAAAACACCACAGTCAAAGCACAAAAACAGGAATGAGGAACTGAGTTTTAATACTACTGGTGGCCCCTTCTCACTGTTTAGTCTTGGACTGATCACATCACTTACCCATTTGTGTTTTAATCTGTTAAAATATGGCTAGTAATAATAATACAATCTTCACCATAAGGGTGCTCCTGTGAGGACTAATTAGCTTGTGTTAGTAAAGAGCCAATATAAGTAATAAATTTTTTTTTTGCACACCTTACAATATTTAGTCATTTTTTCTGAGCTATATCTCAAGCAGGTACATTTTGTTATGGCTGAGATTTCAACTTTGCCTCTTAAACTGCAGCTGGCTCCATGGTGACACTGTAGTTGTGCCCACAAAGTGTAAGCACGCTGTCACTGAGTCACAACTCAATTTGACAAAATGTAGAAGGTATAGATTAAAAAGCCTATTAGCACTTACACACTGCTCTTAAAGATCTCTCAAAGGCTTTTCATGACTGAGCTCGTAAAATTTGTATGTTTCCTAGGGATCTGTAGATACTTTACACAGCAGAAATTGTGCACCATGTTTGCCGTGAGTAAACTTCATTGTATTTCCTTCCTTCCTCCCTTCCTCCCTTCCTCCCTCCCTCCCTTCCTTCCTTCCTTCCTTCCTTCCTTCCTTCCTTCCTTCCTTCCTTCCTTCCTTCCTTCCTTCCTTCCTTCCTTCCTTCCTTCCTTCCTTCCTTCCTTCCTTCCTTCCTTCCTTCCTTCCTTCCTTCCTTCCTTCCTTCCTTCCTTCCTTCCTTCCTTCCTTCCCTTCCTTCCTTCCTTCCTTCCTTCCTTTATCACTCCCTCCTTTCCTCTTTTCCTTTCCTCCTTTCCTCCTTTCCTCCCTCCCTCCCTCCTTCTCTCACTTCCTTCCATTGTGCAAATGAACGTGTACTTTCTCTGCCTGTTCCAGAAGTTTTTAAGTTTTCCGTCACCTGTGTGTTTCCCATTCCATTACCAAAAAAGGAACTGTTTAGGGAAAAGAGTAGAGTCAGATTCTAAATAGTGAAGTAGCTGGCAGGGGAGGTCAGCACCTCTGTTGATCCAGTTCGGAACAGCTAAGAGGAAGTGGGGCTGCAGGGATTCACCTGAGTTT